GAAATTTTATAAAAGTTAATTGCTTCATATATGAAAACAAATATAATATACAATTATAGGAAATTAGGTTACGGGTACAGTTATAGGGGTTAAGAAGTATGTAAAATGAAAACAGCGTTCACTGGTGGCTCTTAGAATCTCACTAAATACTTGTGCATTTTTAAATACTGAAGCCTGTAATAGTAATGAAAAGGTTAATAGGACAATTACTGTAAAATTTGATGGATTTATTTATTTCATACCACAAATAATGATTTTAAGAAAAGCCACATCAAATTAGGATGGAGGTGGTCATGATTTACCATAGATTCCTTTCTTTATTATCTTTGGATTGCCATGCATTTTTGAGAAAGTGGAGTACTTTCCCCCATTGCCTTCTTCACAGTTTTGAATTCATAATTTTCCTCCTAGACTGGTTGCCATACAATCCGAGTGAGCACAGTTTACCCTGTTATTTAATTCATGGCTGGAGTGGTGGGAGGAGATGAGATAGATTCATGCCTAAGAGCATTAGTATAAAAGTGAATGCAACAGACAAGGCTAAAATTTGAATTTTCTCACTAATTCCACTTTCCATGTTGACATCTGTTACATTAATTGCACTTCTGATAATATGATAGAATATTTATTTACAATTTAATGATTGAAAATATATAATGATAATATTGTCAAATTGTATTATTATTTATTGTTAATCAGTAACAAGGTAACAACTTTTTAAAAAATTTTATTGGTGCATGAAAGTTGCAATTAGTGACTACTGGGAGTGAAAAGGTTAAGCTAACAAATTAAGAAAAATAATAATTAATTAAATAAAATTTAAATAAATTTATTTACTGTTTAATGACTGAAAACCTGAAAGTAATGAAAATTTTCACAGAAATTGAATATCCAAGTGGTAAATTGGATAGAATGAAAAATATTAAAATAAACAAAAATTAAATAAAAACTGATATTTAAAGATTAAAGAATAAATAAAAAAACAAAAAAAAACCCAAAGATATTAGTAAAAATAACTCAGAAAAATAGGTGAAAGTATGTTATAATATTATTATGATCCCAGATTGTAAAATTAAAGAGACACAGATAAATAATATCTGGAATAATATGTTTATTTGAAAAATTCCAAATGAATGACAACTCCTCCTTAGGCATGTTTTCTGTACCTGTAACCATTTTTATAATTATAATATAGTGAATCAGAACACACAAATGGCAGAAAAATATAAAACAACTATAAAAGGTAAAGGTAAACACTGAATTTAGAAAAAAAATTAATTAAAATAAACATTTTTACTTCATTCATAACATTATCCTTTCAAATTTCTTCTCTGTAGTATTCATTTTATATTTTTTTTAATCATTTCACCCCAAGTAAGACAATAAGGTCACTAGGATGTAAGGAGTAACTAAGTGTTAGAGAATATGAGAAAAACTTCTATTAAGGAGAAGAGACAAAAAAAAAAAAGAAAGAACAAGATTTTAAGACAGAAGATAATAATTAACATTGCTTTTAAATTTTTGAAGATCAAACTTGACTGGGAAGCAAGAATCTGGAAAAGAGTTCCACAAGCAAGAAGTGTGATAAAAGAAACTTTTAGCATAGAACTTACAGTTACATCTAGCAGCCATTTCAACTGTAAAATGATGAGACCTTGACGCCAAACTAGTACTGTGCTTAAATTCATAAAGTTTCTATAGATGAAAGTTAATCAGGTCAATTACCATGAAAGTATTTATAGAAAAGGCACAGAGAAGCTATGTTACAGTGTTGGGAAAGGCACTGAGGCTGAGATGCCATGTCAGGACCAATAACATTGCAGATTATTCTTTGGATTTTATCAAGAATCTCTAAATATATAGCAGGAGCATCAGACCAGATGTGGCAGCAATATTCGAAGCAAAGACAAGAAATAAAAATTTGTTAGATAGATTTTGTCAATATAATCTTTTATGACAATTATATATAAATATAAAGTAGAATAATACATATAAGTAGAAAAGTAATATACTGGCTGACATCTATAAAATATAGTTTCTTATAGCCTTTGCAAACATATTTATATTACATAAATCATCTTAATGCTATTAAAGATGTCTGATGATTAGATAACTGATTGCTTGATATTAATTTGTCATTTGATGACTAGATAATCATATCCGCATCAATTTGAAAGCATTTTTAGCTTTGATAACAGAGCCAAGATGAATAAGAAAGTTACAAGAGATGCTCCAAAATACTTCCTATTTATTTTCATAGAAACTACCACAGATGGAGAGAGCATAACATTGGATCAAGCAGATTTTCAGTTACTAAACACTATTTTTCCACACAGTCACCACCAGCGGCTGTGCTTTTTTGTTAGTAATGAACAGGAGCCTGTGTTGAGCTGTCTGGAACATAGTTTGTCAGACATCACTGCTGAAGCACATTACATACCGTCTAACTGTGCTCACATCCACTGTTTGGTCTCTATAAACATTTAGCAAGCATCAATGAATGTCAATTAGTGCATTTTTATGCCTGGAGGGATTCAATGATACACCCTTAAAATTAAATTAACTTTTTTGGTTATTTGTAGTTTAGCTTGTCAAATTACCACAGTGGTTGAATGCAGTTGACACTTACAACAAAATACTAACAAAGGTACACTACACTTAAGTCTTAAGTGTTACAGATATCAAAATAAAAACAAAGTATGAAAAAAAAGTAAAAAAAAAAAAAAAAAAACCACTTTCGTTCAAAATTATACTTAAACTAATTTATTTATCATAAATAATTTTTATTTTTGTAACATACAGGAATATTTATTTATTATTTTGAAAGCCAATATGTTTTATTGTCCTGAAAATGTATGAATTAAGATGATTATACATTTTGGAGGGAGGGGTAATTAGATTTTGACAGTTTCACTGAGTTCTATTAATTGACAAAAAAAAAAATTTGATAATTTGGGACGTTAAATTAAAAAATATTTTATTTTGTTCGATCATTGATAGTCTGTATTTGTGTTGCAAAATATTGATATTGTAATTGACTAAGAGTAGAAATGCAATAAGGGTAGAAGGAGGATTTTTATAAGACAAAAGAAAAAAGAATAACCTAATATAGCCTAATAATAACCATGACTTTCATTTGGCATTTGGAAAACACCCTCACAAGACGTACCCAACTGACACGAAGCCCCCTATCTCATCACCTCGTTATGTTAAATATTTTCTACAAAAGAAACAACATCTCTATCTGGCAGATAGTAAATCTTACTTTATAGAAGAAATAATAACAATGAAGAAAATTTTTTTTTAAAAAAGCTGGAAAATAAAAGAAAGCAACCAAATTGTAAAAAAAAAAAAAAGAAAAAAAAAACTTAGTGCAGATAGATGACAGGTGACACTATATTTAAAATAAAAAAAGGTTTGTTTTTTTTTGTACTTTTTAAAAACAAAAGCGCGTGACCCATCTGCAAATCGCTGAAGAAAAACTCGTTGATGAAGAAGACCTTATCAGGCTAATAAAATTTTATATTTGCTTAAAATTTAAGCAAAAATAAATTAGTACCCATGCACAACTTAAGCATTTATTTTTAGTGCAGTAGTGTGAAAAGTTGTAAAAGTAAGTAATTACACTCAATTGAGTAACTCAAACTGTCAAACTGAGAATCGCAAAGTTTCAAAGTAAAAACTGATTCCTGTATTTTTTTTTATATTTATTTATTTATTTTTTTTTTTTTTGTAAAACAATAAACATGTTTTCCAGGGATTGATTGATTTTTTACAATACATTTTTTTTTTTTTTACAAATAAATTCATAATTTAAGTAAAAAAATTATTGTTAAATTTTTGGGACATATTTTTTTTTTAAAAAAAGTTTCCTTCCTGTATATATTCTTAAATTTATTTTAAATTTATAAAATAGACTACGACTGAATTAAAAAAATTAAAAGTAAAACTAAAAAAAGGAAATTAAATGAAAAAGAAATAATTCGAAAATAATATGTTCTATATTGAATATTATTTTAATTTTATTTTATTTTTTAAGTGTGCTTTTTATGTCGAATTAATTTTTAATTTAATGTTGCTGTATCTGCTTTGGTACAAATAACATCAATTTTTTTTATTTATGTTGTTAATTCGTGAGTCGAAAAAACGTTTTTGTAATAAACAAACAAGTTTTAAAAACAACTGATTTTATGGCAAGTATGGAAATCCATAATTTACAAACTGTCGACTGTCAACATTAAATCTCTGCTGTCAAATAAATCAAGTACAAATTCCCATTTATTTTTACAAATACTTTTTTTTTGCAACGAGTGGCATATTTTAGGAAAAAAGAAAATTATGTTTTTTAAAAACATGCATATTTAAAAAGTAAATAAATAAGGACTTTAAGAAGTCGATTGATCTGCTTTGAAAACCGCAAATATTGATTATGTGACAATACGAAATTGAAATAAATTAATGAGGAAAAATGAAATAGGTTAAAAACTTTTTAAACCGTACATACTGTAAGTAAGTATGTTGATAGTTAAATAAATGACTTTACAGTGTAAAGTTTAAATTCCTGTATATTTTGATTACTATTATTTTTCTTTTCAGAAACGTCGATAAAAAGTTGGTAGTTTTGTTACATCAGCGATATAAAGGGACCTGCATGCACAACATGTTCCTAATTCGATTAAGAAACATTCACAATAATGAATAATAAAGTTAAAGCTGAAATAAAACCAATTATTTAAAAAAGGAAGAAAAAATGAATAAACTTTCAACTGAACAGACACTAAAACAGTAACAAAAAAAATCTGACTAAAAAAAAATAATAATAAAGATCGAGATGACGGAACTAAGTACAGTACGCGAAAGAAATGTAACCGTATTAATTGTTATTAGACAATAAATGATGAGGACTTTAGCAAATTATATATATATATATATATAAAATTATAATTATTACTATTAAAGTGAATGAAAAGATAGTAAAAATTAAACATAGGCACACCAACCTTTTTTGTGTTGGTTCCCGTCGTGTCAACCTAACCAGAGTACAAGCAACAATTGAGGTTGTGGGTAGATAACTCTAGTAGCATTTTTGTCTAATCTCATACCTGTCTCGCAAACTATAGTGAGTTATATTTTAGTGGATGGAATAATAAAAATAAAAAAAGGTGGAAAATCTCATGATTTTTTTCGTTGCTAAATTAATTTTGCATTAATATAAAAGAGGCTATCGGAAAGTTCCACGGACTAGAATCTACCAAACTCCATAACTGATTGGAATCATGTAAGAGAGCTGATGGTTGTTTGGTGGTGATTTTCAATGGAAGAGTACACATTTTTTATTCATATTTTCTGGCGTTTTGCTAGTGAATATTCATCATCCTGAACCAACACTTTACCAGCCTTGAAATGTGTATGTCACTTAAAACCTAAAGAATGTTGATCAAAAGCCTGATGAAGTATTTCATAGTGATGTACGTGGAGCTTAGGTGTTAGTTAAAAAATGGACAGTTGATTTGCCCACGCCAAGAAGATTAATGATGATAATGACAAGGAAACACACTGGTAACAAAACAAGATTTATTTACGAATTTACACACTCAAAGTAGTGTCAGTTTGCTGGTTTTAGGAAAATAAATCATAATTCCTAAAGTCCAAAGTTTTTAATGTATTGTCAAGAAGAAAAAATGTTCATGCAAGAGATTAAGTGATATTGTAGTGAACAAAACAAGATCTAGATTTAAAATTCAAATGCTAAGCACTGACTCATTAATTTTGTTAGTAATTAAAAAGACTCGAATTTACAAACTTTGCTTAACACACACGCAAAAGCGAATCCAAAACAAAATTCGTGAAATTTCACACCTTGATGCAAAATGTTTTTCAGCCAATAGAACACTAGGAAACATTTAAAAACAAAATTCAAATAATCTTCAATTCTCAGAAACAAATTCTTTTACAGACCTTTTTGCGAGCTGACACAAAGTTTGTTCGTTGTCCAATGGAAAGGCAAGAATCATATCCAGGAGTGAGTTCCCAAATGACCCTTCAAGCCCCACAAACAAAATAAAAGACGGGCAAGTTCGCCTGTCACCATAGAGAAGGAGACAAGTATATTAACATGTCCCTTGACAAACGTCAAGTGATCGTTATTATTATCATCTCTACCTTTCTCCCTCACCTCTTTTATACTTGATAAATGAATGGAACATTTTAAGACTGAGTGATTACTTCAAAGACATTCCTACTCTACGATAATGCTCATACATACATACATACATACATCCACACATATGTTCCTGCCTACGTACACATAAACTCATTCTTGCAAGGACTACTACGAACATTTTGACAACTTTGTATCAACCAGAATACATTAATTTTATTTGTAAAGACCTTAATTGATTTATATGTATATAAATTTGCTTTTTCACCTTATGATTTGATTTTCTTGTTTTATACCCCTCTTATGGTGGGCTATCTAACTAACAAGGCTGAATCAAACTAATCTGTTTCAACACTCATATACTTCACTATAACTGATAACCCACTATAATCTGACAAAATAATATTAAAAAATGTTTAAGACAAAGGTAAGAGAGTTTGTTGCTCACTGAAGGGATATATGGTTTTGCATATACTCAAAAGTAAACAAAGAGAGATAGTTTGAAATACTTTGCTTTCTTGGATTGTTGAGAGAAAATTCTTTGTAGTGACACTCGTTGGTGAGAAATTTTACACTGATCAGTACTTCAACATTGTGAGAAACTGAAATGAAACCTTTTACATGACTTCAGACATGTTTCTCATTAATTTAATTTTTTTCTCCTCATTTTATATCAAAAAGAATTCCGCATAAGATAACTACATTCTTTCCTTATTCTTCTTGATTCAGCAGCTAAGTTCTATGAAGGCAAAGTTTTCATTGGTACAAAAAGAATTTCACATAGGCTCACAAATTTATTTCCTTCCTTCTTCTTCTCAGCCCACCAGTTAATTTCTGTGAAGTCAAAAATCTCACATAAGCCCACAAATTTCTTGATTCTTCCTCAGACCTTCAAATTTAAAGGGAGTGGGTGAGGGGTGTTATTATTATTTCACACTCACTACATTTCAAGGCTCTCAGCATTATCCAAGCTTAATGTAAAATTTTCTCAGGTAATTTTTTTTTCCCAAAAAAGAATAATTGTGCCAGCCCATCAATTTCCTTCCAAAGGAAGCAAAGTTCAATTATTGAAAATTATTTTAAAGATTTCATCTACTCCTTTTGTACTCTCCTTTTAAATAAATGGGGGATTTATTTAAGACTCAAGTGTAAGTGGGAAATATTTCCTAACGTGAACAAGAACTATGTCATGTGCATTAATCTATAAAAGCCATCACATATCAATGAGAAAGCTATAAGCTTAAGATGTGACACCGAAATCTGAAGGCACATTGGAATAGTGAAAGATGTCTTCCAAAAGCTAAGTAAAGTATTAAGGAATGGGAAAATGTCATTAGAAATAAAGAAAAGTGTGCTGAATATACAATATTAATCCTCCTATGGTAGCATATGCTGGAAAATTTACTTACAGATATAACACCTGGGGTTGGTCACTGGTCACTAAATAGGATACAGGAGTAGCTGTCCGCCTGGTCACTGTATGTATGATGTAAATTTGAGCTGGTAATCATGATTTCCAGTATTACAGTTTGGTAAAGGGTGTGTGAATTGGGCGTGGCTATTTCCATTGTTCATCTCTTTCATTAGACCTGTATTGTCTAGCGGAAATCTTCATTCACATTGTGTACTCATTGGGATGAACTATGTGACTTGTCTTCTTATTCATTTTGATAGGCTATGAATTTTGATTTTGTGGTTCAGATGATGTTTTGATCTAGTGTCTTTTTTGAACTGACATCCTTCCTGAAAGGTGGGAAACTCTAGCAGAAAGAATAAACTTTGTTGATAAATCTATCAACAATTTATTAATAATGAGAATATATAAACATTGTAAGCATGGCACTCATGCAGTTTGACTTCAGTAAATTCTTTTCTTCACTTGAAGTATTGATATCTAATGGGTGAAATGCAAGTATGTTGCCAAATTTGCTGCTGTTAGGATTCTGATGAAAATGGGCCACAGTTTTGTCCCTTGGCTACCCAGTGTGAACTGAGTAAAATGGCTGCCAAGCATGAACTGAGTAAAATGGCTTGTGCATGTGTTTATAAGGATAATGGTGTGAACTTAGGACTTTGATTAATTAGGTACCCTCAGAAAGACCCCCTCTGTTAAACAAAGAACTTCCTTTTAGCATTGCATGTAATGAATGCTTCTAAAGTACTCAAGGCCAGACATTTTAGTAATATTTCTATGCACATGTGGTAGATAGGTTTTTAAAATAACACTTTCTAATTTTGTCTGGGTTTTGCAGAATTTTGGCAAACACAAATCAACAAGACTTTCTCAGGGCTGTGTCTTGGTTGGGGATTTCAGTTGTACTGGATTTCACTGAATCTTACTTGGTTAATTTTCACTTAAAATTCTCTTGATACCTTACTTACCTGTATTTTATAGATTCAAATTAAGATTTTTAAACTAAACTTTTTCATCAAGTTTCAACCTGATTAACCACTCTCCTATATTTTTCTCCATCTGATATCTCTACTTCTTCACTCAAGATTTACTAAGCCTCAATGCCTCAAAGTCACCAAAAAACTGTTCATGTACTAATATGACTCAGTCAGGCTCACTGCCCTGTTGCACAAATGAAGAGGATACTTGAGACAAAAGAGATGTGGTTCTACAGAAGGATGCTTAGAATACCATAAATAAAACATGTGAACTATGAGGAAGTTTTAAAGAAAGTGGGAACAAAAAGGACAGATCAGAAAGTGATAGTTGAAATTTCTGGGACACATAGTGAGGAAAGGGGGTTTGAACAATTTGATGCTCACAGGACATCCTGAAGATGGCAAGAGCTGGGGAGGGAAACATCAAGTAACCTAGTAAACAAGCTTGGGTAAATGGATGATAGAACATAGAGTAGTGGGGATAGTAAGGGGACAAACATTGATTAGAGCTACAAAGGATAAGAAGCTGTGGAGAGCCATGATCTGAAGGGAGATGGCACATAAAAGAAGATCGGCTTAAGTAGATTCCTTATTAAAAACAATTTAACCTTGTTTAATCTGAAGCTTTTTTTTTCAGTTATCAATAAAATTTTAAAAATCCTTAGTTTTGTTAGCTTTCTTTTGTAACTATATTTTTGTATACACAAGAAAGAAAGTTGGTTCAATTTTTTAATAATTTATCAATATTATTGATTAAAAGGAAAAAGGATATATTTTGTAAGGATTCAACAATGTTTGTCTGAAATATTTCCCTTTGGCCAAAATTTTTCAAAGATGTTACTTGAGTCCATAACAGGTGTTAGAATGTTATATCAAGTGTCTTATGTAAAACTCAAAGATCACATGACACTTATTTTTTCTGTTTGATCACAAAAAATGTTATCTGATACTTTTTAAAACAGGAACCTGACTTGGCTAACCAGACTTGGACATTACAAGTAGCCAGCTTTGGATATTCAAACAGATCCTGTAAATTTGTTTGTTTTCACATACATTTATTGTGTGGGTGTACATTCCATTTGAATTAGGTGTAAAGCAGCCAACTACACTCACTTGATTCAAGATATAACTTCAAGCTAGGGTAGATACAGAATTGATATTTTGGGTATGTGCCCTTGTCAAAATCAGAGATTTTGTTCTTTATGTGAATTTGATGAAATTTTCCTAAATTACCAAATTTGATAACATATATCACCTCCCCAATATTTCTTGCATCTAATATGCAAAGTGAAGATATCTGGGAGGCTTAATTGACTGATTTTTTTTCAAGAATTATCAACTTTTTGCAGGTTATTTAAAGCCAGAAAATTGTTTTTTAGATTGTAAGAGTTTCTTTTTGAAGATAATAATAATTTACTGATACAAGTCCTAGTAATTAACCCATATGGGGGGAGAAAAGGTGGATTCATACTTTTCCCAAAGATATTTGTGTATAAGTGAATATAACAAACCCAACTGGAATTGGGACTTTGCTCTCCAATTGACAATT